TAGAGATAGATCTGTCTCCTGACCCACACGCAGCCGAGGGGGCTAGTAGTGACGCGGAGACCCTAATGATGATGAGGCTGATCGCACTTTGCAGCAGCCTCGTCGTCATCGGGCTATTGCTTCCGCATCATCAGGAGAAGAGGGTGCCAGCTTGCCAGCGAGCAAAACAGTCGGTTGGTTGCCCAGGAGGCAGCAGGGTCGCAGCAGTGTCAGTGGAGGCAAACGGCCACGGAGTAGAGCACCAGCTCCACTGCAGCCTACCACCACGGCCAGTAGTAGGTGCCAGTGTGCACGGAGGAAGTAGCAGTCAGCCAGTGAGGAGTAGCGGGGGCAAAGTTTCCTACTCGGCGGTGTGTGGCAATTTTTTGTCAAGCCGCCCGAGGAAGTAAACGTAGCCGTATGTCGACTATGTGGCCAGAAAGTCAAGCGTGGCCAGGGGGCCCATGTTGGGGACTACAGCGTTGCGTCAGCATATGCAGCATCGCCATTCGGTGGCCTGGGAAAACCGTGATAAAGATACGGCGGTTCTGCCTGCCCCAGCCCCCGCTCCGTTACTTGCTCCGTCACCCGACGTCAATCGCCCTCTATCAGCCAGTCAAGGCTCCAACACCTCTGCTGAGGGGAGTTGTCGCTCGTTGGCATCTTCCGCTCGTTCAGATGCTCCTTCTCCTGCTACTCCTCTTCACGGATTCCGTCAGCACAGTCAGTTTCTTGGAATCCGTTTCCAAGAGACAACAGTTTGCGAGCATGCACCCGACGGTGCAGAAGCTGAACGTCTCCTGTCCAAGTTGCTGGTGCTGCAGTCCCTCCCTTTCCAAGTGGTGGACTCAGCACCTTTCCGAGAAATGATGGCTTGTGCCGAGCCGCGGTGGAGAGTGCCAAGCCGGCATTTCTTTGCCAAAAAGGCATTGCCAGCCCTGCATTCACATGTAGAAGAGATGGTGAGCCAGTCTTTGAGCATGTCGGTCTCTGCCAAAGTGCACGGCAGCGCCGACGTGTGGAGCTGTAACTACGGTCAGGGACAGTACATGTCATTTACGGCCCACTGGGTGAACGTGGTGCCAGCACAGCCGCACCAGCAACTTGGACAGGTCACGCCGCTTTTGCCTCCACGTTTGCACGTCCTTGGTCCACAAAAGATGTCCGCCTCTACCACCTCTTCTTCCGCCATGTCCTCAGCCGCCACCCCCGTGCCAAGTCCCATTACCCGACCGGCATATCACATGTGCAGGGCGCAACGGTGTCACGCTGTGCTGCACCTGGTATGCCTTGGCGAACGTAGTCACACAGGGGAGGAACTTCTGAGTGTAATGAACAGAGAAATCGACAGATGGCTGTCTCCGCGCAAACTGAAAATCGGAACCATGTTGACCGACAACGGAAAGAACATGGTGTCTGCTCTGCGTCAAGGAAGGTTGTGCCATGCGCCATGCATGGCTCACGTGTTTAATCTGGTTGTCAAGCGGTTCCTAAAATCCACCATCCCACTGCAAGACATCCTTAACCACTTGCCGACCGCGCATAGCCGAATGACGGCTTCACCGCGGCCGGCCAGTTCTGAGTGGACGTCATATGACGTCCTCCCAGAACGCGCTCTCCTGCGCGCCCCAGGGGGCGCGCACCCGGCGATCTCCGTGATCGCTGTGTCCTACGGACACAGCTGATCACGAGATGTGGTGAAAGGCCGATCCCACCGGCCTTTTACCACGTGATCAGCGGTGTCCAATGACACGCTGATCACAGGAAAATGCAAGTGCCGGTTCTCGGCTGCACTTTCCTCACGCTGTCAGATCGTGAGGAAAGTACTGCCGAGAACGGCAGTTGTAAGAGCAGGGATCGGCACCGATCATCAGGGCACTGATGATCAGTGCCCTTGATCGGTGCCCAGCAGTGACCCCCGCAAGTTCCGATCAGCTGTGCGCCCACTAGCCCCGCCCACCCATTCCCCAGCAGTGCCCCCACCTGTGCCCAGCAGTGCCCCCACCTGTGCCACTCTGCAGTGCCACCTACCTGTGCCCAGCAGTGCCACCTACATGTGCCCAGCAGTGCCACCCACCTGTGCCCACCAGCGCCACCCACCTGTGCCCACCAGTGCCACCCACCTGTGCCCACCCACCAGTGCTGTCCACCAGTGCAACCACCAGTGCCACCCACCAGTGCTGCCAGTCAGTGCCCAGGGGTTGTGCCAGTCAGTGCCCAGAAGTGATGCCAGTCAGTGCCGTCTATCAGTACCCATCATCAGTGTCACCTATCAGTGCCGCCTATCAGTGCTGCATATCAGTGCCGCCTATCCGTGACCCCTAATTAGTGCTGTCTATCAGTGCCGCCTATCCGTGCCACCTCATTAGTACTGCCTATCAGTGCCCTTTAGTGCTGCCTATCAGTGCCCATCAGTGCCGCCTATCAGTGCCCATCAGTGCTGCCTCATCAACGCAAATCAGTGAAGGAGAAAAAATACCTGTTTGAAAAATTTTATAAAAGAAACAAACTTTTTTTTTTTTTTCAAATTTTTTGCACTTTTTTTAATTTATAGCGCAAAAAGTAAAGCGCCCAGTGGCGATTAAATACCACCAAAAGAAAGCTCTATTTGTGAGAAAAAAATGATCAAAATTTCATATGGGTACAATGTTGCATGACCGCGCAATTGTCAATCAAAGTGCGGCAGCGCTGAAAGCTGAAAATTGGCCTGGTAAGGAAGGGGGTATAAGTGCCTGGTAGGCAAGTGGTTAAAATGTCACGTAAACTTTGCATGCATTTCAGCCATTCCTACACCGCAAAGCACACCCTCCTTGAGCTGCAGCGGCAGAACGGAATTCCACAGCATCGCCTGATCTGCGACGTTGCAACAAGGTGGAATTCAACCCTACACATGTTAGACCGCCTTTACGAACAGCGAAAGGCCATCACCGATTTCCTGATGTTACAAGCGGATAAAGGTACTCCCCTGTGTAACTTAGATGTCAGCCATTGGCAGCTCATGCGTGACACCTGCCGCTTGCTCAGGCCCTTTGAGGAGGCCACGCTATTCGTGAGTCGGCAGGACTATGGGATGAACGACGTCATTCCTCTGTTGCACGTCCTGGAACAAATGCTGTTAACAATGGCTGGTCAGGGTGCGGTAGATGTGGCGCACAGATCTCAACGCCACATGACCCCTGTGGGGGCAGGACAGGAAGAAGAGGAGGAGGTAGAGGAGGACATTGGTGCTCAGGAATTATTGAGTGAAATGGGTGGTTTTTTCCACTCAGCGGACAGGAGTGGAGGAGCAGGAGCATCTGGTAGAGGAGGAGGAGGAGGAGACAGAGGACCCAGACGCACCGTGGCAGTATGCTGTGGAGATGGAGGCAGGGAGTCCCTCGCATTCCTTGGCACAAATGGCCCATAGCATGCTCGGTTGCTTGCGTAGCGACAGCCGAATAATAACCATCAGACAGAGGGATGACTTTTGGCTGTCCACCTTGTTGGACCCTCGCTACCGTTCAAAAATGGTGGCCTTTTTCACACCTGCTGAGAGGGAGGCCAAAATAAAGTACTATAAAAACCACCTATGTAGTCAGTTGGTCTCTGCCTTTCTGCGCCAACGTCCATCCTCAGACACTGTGGGCCCTGTGCGCTCGCGTTCCGCTGCCATGGCAGCAGGGGAGGGGTGGGGTGGTAGGAGCAGTGGCAGCTCCACCAGCAGCGGCTGCCTCAGTCTGCAGTCGATGATGAGTAGCTTTCTTCACCAGCGCAGTGAGGAAACTACTAACCAGCCGCAGCAGCATCAGGTGGACCTGGAGCAGGACCTCAAACAACAGGCTCGGGCCTACTTGGACAGCACCCTGCCAACCGAGGTAGACAATCCCCTTGACTACTGGGCAACGAAACTTGACCTTTGGCCCCAACTAGCTGAATTTGCCCTTGAAAGGCTGTCATGCCCGGCCAGTAGCGTGGCATCGGAGCGCGTGTTTAGTGCAGCAGGAGGTATTGTAACTCCGCGGAGGACACGACTGTCCACCCAAAGTGTGGAGAGACTCACGTTTGTGAAAATGAATCAGGCGTGGATTAGTCTGGATTTCAAACCACCAGTTCCTGACACAACTGACTAAAACCGCCATGAATCATGCCCCAAACATGTTATTATTTTTAACATAGGCCTCTGTATGGCCTTCAATTTAAGCTGCTTACGCTTCGCCACTCTGCCATGGGCCCCTGTACCGCCTCCTCTTGCTGCTGCCAGGTCCAGAGTGTGTCATGGGTCCCTGTACGGCCTCCCATTGCTGCTGACTTCATCGCCAGACTCTGCCATGTGCCACTTTCAGGTCTCCTTACACTGTTGGTGGGTTCCATTTTGTGATAGGGTGCTGTATGGCCTTCCATTGCTGCTGCCTCCACCGCCACCCTGCGCCATGTGCCTCTGTCGTCTGCTCACGCTGCTGACGGCTTCCGCTTTTTAACCTAGGCCTGTGTATGGCTTCAGAATAATGCTGCATCCACCGCCACCCTGCGCCATGTGCCTCTGTCGTCTGCTCACGCTGCTGCCAGGTCCATACTGATTCATGGCCCCCTGTACCGGCTCCTCATGAACGTGGTTCAGCGGGTTTGCATCACTTAACGGCAAATCGTTGACAAACGCTGGGACGTTCAGTGTTGTGCGCATTAAGCCAGACACCAAAGGGCAGCACAGACCTGTTATTACTCGCTCAAGCATGGCTGAACAAAACCAGTCTCTACCACAAATTGGACCCAGACCTGCCCAGGGTCTTGTAAGTAGATTGCACGGAGGAGTAGAGTTCGTTATTGGAATTAACTGTGAGGGACTTTTAAACCTAGGCCTGTGTATGGCCTTCAATTGAAGCTGCTTCTGCTCCGCCACTCTGCCATTGGACTCTTGAAGTCCCCAGCAGCAGCGTGGGGAGACGACTATTAGTCGTCTCCCCACGCTGCTGCTGGGGGGACTTTTTAACATAGGCCTCTGTATGGCCTTCAATTTTAGCTGCTTACGCTCCGCCACTCTGCCATGGGCCCCCAGTACCGCCTCCTCATGCTGCTGCCAGGCCCGTAATCTGTCATGGGCCCCTGTACCGCCTCCTCATGCTGCTGCCAGGTCCAGAGTGTGTCATGGGTCCCTGTACGGCCTCCCATTGCTGCTGTCTCCATCGCCACACTCTGCCATGTGCCACTTTCAGGTCTCCTCACACTGCTGGTGGGTTCCATTTTGTCATAGGGTGCTGTATGGTCTCCCATTGCTGCTGCCTCCACCGCCACCCTGCGCCATGTGCCTGTTGTCTGCTCACGCTGCTGACGGCTTCCGCTTTTTAACCGAGGCCTGTGTTTGGCTTCCGAATACTGCTGCATCCACCGCCACCCTGCGCCATGTGCCTCTGTCGTCTGCTCACACGCTGCTGACGGCTTCCGCTTTTTAACCGAGGCCTGTGTTTGGCTTCCGAATACTGCTGCATCCACCGCCACCCTGCGCCATGTGTCTCTGTCGTCTGCTCACGCTGCTGACGGCTTCCGCTTTTTAACCTAGGCCTGTGTATGGCTTCCGAATACTGCTGCCTCCACCGCCACCCTGCGCCATGTGCCTCTGTCGTCTGCTCACACTGCTGATGGCTTCCGCTTTTTAACCGAGGCCTGTGTTTGGCTTCCGAATACTGCTGCATCCACCGCCGCCCGCCCACTGCTGCTGCCAGGCCCGTAATCTGTCATGGGCCCCTGTACCGCCTCCTCATGCTGCTGCCAGGTCCAGAGTGTGTCATGGGTCCCTGTACGGCCTCCCATTGCTGCTGTCTCCATCGCCACACTCTGCCATGTGCCACTTTCAGGTCTCCTCACACTGCTGGTGGGTTCCATTTTGTCATAGGGTGCTGTATGGCCTCCCATTGCTGCTGCTGCCTCCACCGCCACACTGTGGCTCCACACTCTGGTTTTGGCCCCGTGACTGCCCAAATGAGTGAAGTGTGCGGTGATTCTAAGATCGACGGCACTCATCTGCATGTCATACTGACTGACAGTATTATTTCTCTTCCCCAGCAGACTCCAAGGGCATTTAAATTAAAGGTACAGTGTTCTGCACTAATATAAAGGCTCTCTGAAGCCTAGAAACACCCTTTTTATAAGTTAAATTCGCAGCGAATATATTCGCCTCGAATCAAATTTATTCCGCGAATTCAGCGAATCAGCCGAATCGAATTTTTGAATAATTCGCTCATCTCTAATTAGAAACATGGGGAGATGGGAAACACGGAATTACTAAAAATATATAAGATTCTCACTGAAATAGATACAGATATAAGGTCACCGTATATAGAAAAATGGGAAAGGGACATGGGTGTAATAATAGATGAGGAAAAACAGAAGAAAATGTATAGATTCATTCATGAAAATGTAAATATGCGGGAAGTAGAAATGAACTACAAATGTTTGTTAAGATGGTATATTACACCAAGTGTGGAGAGAATTCACCAATGTGTTTGGAGATGTGGAGGTAGAGGCACTATGTATCACATATGGTGGGAGTGTTCAAAAATACAGGAGTATTGGGAGAAAATAGTGAACCTGATTCGGAAAATTTCTGAAGTTGATATTAGATTAGATCCAGAGACTTGCATTTTTCACAGCAGAGTTATCAGTTAACAAATATAAAAAATCTGGTATATGGTATTATTTGAATGCAGCAAAGAGTTTGAGTTTTGGCGGAGATGGGAGGTGCTGAAAGTAGAGGATTGGGTTGATTGGGTGGACCAAATATGTAAGATGGAGAAACTTTACCATATGAATGAAGATAAGATGGAGAGATATTATGTGAAATGGAACAGATGCGAAGAATTTAAATATAAAAAGTTAAAGTTAAATGAGGAATGTATGGGGGTATAATGTAAAATAACATGAGTATACCTCTCTCTTCTCTTTGGAGGATGTGAGGTCCCAGGAAGATTAGGAAAATGCAGCGTGGAGGGGGCAGTGGGAAGGAGAGGGGGGAGGTGGTTGATAGGAGGTATGGGGGGGCTGGGGGGGTAGGGAAAATAAGTGGAATGATATCTGTACCATAAATGTGTTAATGTTTTTAAAAGAATACGTTTGTATAATCTGTTTGCTTGAAAATCAATAAAATTTAAAATTAAAAAAAAAAAAACTAGGGGGAGTACAACTGGGGGAATCAATGGTGGAGAAGGATCTGGGGGTTCTGGTAGATCACAAGCTTAATAATGGCATGCAATCCCAAGCTGCGATTTCTAAAGCAAGCAAAATCCTCTCTTGTATTAAAAGAGGTATAGACTCCAGAGAGAGAGAGAAATATCATATTACCCCTGTACAAATCATTAGTAATACCTCATATGGAATATGCAGTTCAGTTTTGGGCACGAATTAAAAAAAAAAAAAGAACATTGGGGAACTGGAGAAAGGGCAGAGAAGGGCAACCAAACTGATAAGAGACATGGAGGAGATCTGCTATGAGGAAAGATTAGAGGAACTGAATTTATTCTCTCTTGAGAAGAGGTGATTAAGGAGGGATTTATGATCGACATGTATAAATACATCAGTGGTTCATATAGTGAACTTTGCCCTGTGTAGAGCTATTCACCCTGAATAGCATCACAGAGGGCAAAGGGGGCACTCTTTACGTCTGGAGGAAAATAAATTTAATTTCCAAACACGGAAAGGTTTCTTCACAGTGAGAGCTGTGAAAATGTGGAATAGACTCCCTAAAAAGTTGGTTCTGGGCAGCTCAGTGGATTGCTTCAAAAAAGGCTTGGATTTTTTCTTAGATACACAGAATATAACTGGATACTAACATGTATAGGTAAAGTTGATCCAGGGAATAGCAGATTCCCTCTCGGGGGATCCTGATGGAATTTGTTTTCCCCTGCAGGAGCAAATTGGATTGTACTTTGCTGGGGGGTTTTTTGCCTTCCTCTGGATCAACTGTGGGTATAGGATTATAACTTTTTTTTTTTTTTTTTTTTTTTTTTTCTATGGTTGAACTGGATGAACTTTTGTCTCTTTTCAGCCAGACTAACTATGTAACTACGTAACATGATGCTGCCACCACCATTTTTCACGTTGGCGATTGTCTGTTCAGGGTGATATGCAGTGTTAGTTTTCCGCCACACATAGCATTTTGCTTATAGGCCAAAACGTTTAATTTTGGTCTCATCTGTGCCATACTCTTTCCATTTTTGGATGATGGATTGTATAGTGCTCTGTGAGAAGTTCAAAGCTTAGGATATTTTTTTTTTATAACCTATCCCTGTTTTAAGCTTATCCACAACTTTATCCCTGACCTGTCTTGTGTGTTCCTTGGAATTCATGATGCTGTTTGTTCACTAATGTTCTCGAACAAACCTTTGAGGGCTTCACAGAACAGCTGTATTTATACTGAGAATAAATTACACACAGGTGGACTCTATTTACTAATCAGGTGACTTCTGAAGGCAGTTGGTTTCACTAGATTTTTGTTAGGTGTATCAGAGTACAGGGGGCTGAACTCTGCCACTTGTTCGGTCAGTGTACGTTTTTATACCAATTTTGATTATATCACTTTATTTTACCCACGTGGATTAATAAATTATTTTATCTAAATACTACACTATGGGCTATTATTTTTGTTGACTCTTTTGCGAGCCAACAATTCATCCCCAGAGCCCATACTCCATGGCATAGGAAGTATTCCCCACACTGCTGACATCAGCCTACTACTACCAGAGTAATACACCAGATCCAGTAAGATTCAGCCAAGCTGTGTATCTGAGAGGTTTCCACGGTGGTATTCGGGGCTATCTCAGGAGTGACTTCCACTAACTAGACCAGACCAATACCAAGAGAGGGAGAGTACGTTATAAGCGGTGCAGCTCATCCATTCCATCCCATGAAGGGGACCTCTGGTTATTGATTATATGCGTATATAAAGATAGACATCTGGTGAGTGCGTATTTTAACTATTCTATCATCTCTCCACCTGGAACGTACAGTCACCAATATCTCCTGTATCTATCACTTATCACAGACTGTCACCATTTTATACATTGTTTTGAACACACTGCGATTGTTCATTCAGCTTGTCCTATGGATTGAAATAATTTATCTGGTTTTGTTTTTAGCGCTGCACTTTCTTTTTTAGTTTTTTATGAGGTTTTATTATGGTTGCATTTTCGTGCTTTTAGCTGCTATTACTACTGAGTATTTTGTTTTATTCTACACATGAAACATGTTGGTCATGGTGAATACCCATTGTAATATTTATTTATATATATATATATTTTTACATTCATATTGTCTTCTTATTTTAAATTCTGGTGTCATCCATCAATGTATCATTGTTATTTGGATATCATGCATTTACACCTGTGGTTATGTCAGAAAGGTTTTGTGCACTGATTTATTTATTCATCTATTTATGTGTGCCTTACAGTTATCTTTCAGGGTTTCCCCAACCTGTTGGAGGGCAGCAAAGCCAGTGCCATAATTGGGATATCTGAGGTCATCCACTAAGTTGTCTGCTCACTTATGCCAAAAACACTTTTCTTGAGCGGAAGGGTTTTTTTTTCTTGTTTGAATACAGAATACCATCTTTGAACACACAACACATTGAACCAGAACCTACAGAAGCAGAAGACCATAATGGGTGCCACTCCTATCAGCTAAAAATAGGAAACAGAGGCTACAGTTTGCACAGACTCACCAAAATTTAACAATAGAATATTGAAAAAATGTTGCCTGGTCTGTTGAGTCTCAATTTCAGCTACAATATTCAGATGGTAGGGTCAGAGCTTGGAGGAAACAACATGAAAGCATGGATCCATTCTGCCTTGTATCAATGGTTCAGGCTAGTCGTGGTGGTGTAATGGTGTGGGGTATATTTTATTGGCACACTCTTGGCCCCTTAGTACCAACTGGGCATCGTTTAAATGCCTCAGCCTACCTGAGCATTGTTGCTGCCCATGTCCATCTGTTTATGACTAAAGTGTACCCATCTTCTGATGGCTACTTCCAGAAGGATTAATGGAGCATGTCACAAAGCTCAAATCATCTCAAACTGGTTTCTTGAACATGACAATGAGTTCACTGTACTCCAGTGGTCTCCACCGTCACCAGATCGAAATCCAATAGAGCACCTTTGGGATGCGGTGGAATGGGAGATTCGCATCATGGATGTGCAGCTGACAAATCTGCAGCAACTGCTCCTAGGTCTTTCATATTGGAAGGGTTCCTTTTCACAACTGCTGTTTTGAGATCTCTCCATATGTGCTCTATGGGATTGAGATCTGGACTCATTGCTGGCCATTTCAGTACACTACAGCACTTTTTGTTTAAAACCATTTCTGGGTGCTTTTTGACATGTGCTTTGGGTCATTGTCCTGCTTGTAAGACCAGGGCTGTGGATGGGGGGATGGGGGGGGGGGTACCACCTGTCCTCCTGTACAGGGCCCAGGCCAGCAGGGGGGCCCAGGCAGCTGGCTGAATCAGATTTGGGCAGGGAGGGTGATTGGCATGGTGAGTGGCAATTACTGCAACCAATCCCGTGTATGGCTCTCTTTGCAGCAGCTGAAAACTGGCTTCTTTACAGGCGGACAAACAAAAAATTTACATCGAAACCATATATACCACACAATACATATTATATACACATGCGCAGTGATATAATATAACAGAGAAAATCCAAAAATGTCACATGATACTATTAATAACATTATATTACCCAACCACTTCCCGACAGGAAAATGAGGGAGAAGGAACAAATAGATATTTAGTAAAAAAGCAGCACACATTAGACATTGTTAGGCACACAGTTAACCCTTTGATTGCCCTTAGATATTAACTCCTTCCCAGCCAGTATCATTAGTACAGTGACTGCGTATATAGTATTACTACTGATAACTCTATTAGTGGCACTTGCGATGTCAGTTAGTGTACCTTCCAGCCAGTGTCAGATTGCCCGCCTCACTATTACAGTCCCTTTATAGGTCTCTGATCACCGCAAATACAAATTAAAAACAAAATAAATAAATAAAAATACCTTTCTTTGTAGACTCTATAACTTTCACACTAACCAATCAATATACACTTTTGGGATTTGTTTTTTT